GCAGAACTCACCTCTGCCCCAAAGGGTCAGTTACGTGACTAGTTAAGGGCCTGCCGTGTGTACCAACTTGCTTCTTCCTTCCCTCCCCACTAGAGCCTGGCACAAGAGAACAGAGGGAAGGAGGAAGGAGGTGGGAAGCCTGCTCCCAGCCTGAGGGGCACAGCTCCTATGATCCATCCACCCCTACCTAGAAGCCCTCCCCAACTCAGGATGAGCTGTACACTCCCCTTTATATTTTTCCTCCTATGCCTGCCATAGCCAATGCCCCTGGAGGAAGACAGTGGGCAGATCCAAGGATACCTAGTCTCTTGGAGCCCCTCAGGCCAGGCTGGGGCTGTCCTGCCCCTCTGCAACACCACGGAGCTAGACTGCACCTTCCACCTGCCTTCAGAAGCCCGGGAGGTGGACATTGTGGCCTATAACACAGCCGGGATATCTCGTCCCACTCCAGTGGTCTTGGAGAGCAGAGGTAAAGAAGGCTGGCAACCAGAAGAACACTGTGGTTAAGCATGTAAATCTGGAGGCTAGACTGCCTGGGTTCAAATCTAGTCCCATCACTTGCTAACAGTGTGACCTGGGCAAGTAACTTTTTCTCCCTGGCCTCTGTTTACCCCCCTGGCAAGCAAATGGGGATGATAACAGTGCCTACTGAGGGTTGTTATGAGGACTACATGAGTTCAAACATGTGCTGGCACAAATCACTGATCAATGTGTGTTACCTATTATTATCATTACCCAGAACCAGGTTAAGCTGGTAGTGGTATCTACACACGCACACACATACACAGAGTCCATTCTACCAAGAAAGATGAGAGAGAAAGCCCTAAGCTTTTTCACATGGAACACGGTCCATGAGTTAATTGCTCATTCTCAGTGGATCAGCCCCCACCATCCCATCTCCACCGCCCCTAAACATGAGTTCTCGCAAGGTGGGACTAATAATCACAGTAACAATAACAGTAGTTAATATTCCCACTTACTAGCTGTGTGGTGATAAGTTACTTAACCTCTCTGTGTCTCTCAGTTTTCTCACTGATAGAATGGGGACAACAGTAGCACCTCCCTGGTGTGACTATGAGAGAGAAAGCCCTAAGCTTTTTCACATGGAACACGGTCCATGAGTTAATTGCTCATTCTCAGTGGATCAGCCCCCACCATCCCATCTCCACCGCCCCTAAACATGAGTTCTCGCAAGGTGGGACTAATAATCACAGTAACAATAACAGTAGTTAATATTCCCACTTACTAGCTGTGTGGTGATAAGTTACTTAACCTCTCTGTGTCTCTCAGTTTTCTCACTGATAGAATGGGGACAACAGTAGCACCTCCCTGGTGTGACTATGAGAGAGAAAGCCCTAAGCTTTTTCACATGGAACACGGTCCATGAGTTAATTGCTCATTCTCAGTGGATCAGCCACCACCATCCCATCTCCACCGCCCCTAAACATGAGTTCTCACAAGGTGGGACTAATAATCACAGTAACAATAACAGTAGTTAATATTCCCACTTACTAGCTGTGTGGTGAGAAGTTACTTAACCTCTCTGTGTCTCTCTGTTTTCTCACTGATAGAATGGGGACAACAGTAGCACCTCCCTGGTGTGACTGTTAGAGGATTCAGTGAATTAACATATGTCAAAGACTATGCCTGGAACATACCAAGAACTATATTGTGTTAGCTGTTACTATCAAGTACCACACTGCACTACGCACTATGTTAGGCTTGTTCCATGCATCATCTCGTTTAATCTGCACCAAGACCCTATGAAATAGGAAATTTTATCATCATTTCCACTTTACAGATGAGGACACTGAGGCTCAGATGCTGACATACCCAAGGTCACCCAGCCTGTAAGTAGCAAGGCTAGGATTTGAACCCAGGCTTCTGGCTCTGGGGCCTGCATTCTTTTAACCATCATTCCACCATTTCCCACTCTGTTTCCAGGCCCACCCCTGGCCAAACTCCATGCCAAGGCCCGGGACCCATACAGCCTCTGGGTGGGCTGGGAGCCCCCCAGCCTTCAGCCCCAGGGCTATGTGATTGAGTGGGGCCTGGGTTACCCCAGTCCCAGCAGCAGCAATAAGACCTGGAGGATAGAGCATAATGGGAGCATTACGGGGACTCTGCTGCAGGGTGAGGCGGGCTTGGAAGGCTGGGTGGGTGGGCAAGACCCAGGAGAGGGGGAGGCAGGGCTTGTCTGACAGGAGGCAGAAGCAGATTCCCCAGCCTTTCTTGATCCTTCACTGTTCTCATATCCTCACAATCAGGAAGTTCTTCCTACAGTCTAATCTGACCTCTCTCTCTACAGCCCTGACCCTGCTCCCCTTCGAGCTCTCTCTTTCACTTTTCTTCCCTAACCTCCATCAAATGATCTGAAGAAGAGATTATAGAGGTTAGCCCTGCATCTTGAGGCCAGGTTAGCCCTGACTAAAGGTTAGCTCCTGATCATCAGCAGAGGTTAGCCCCTAACCAGAGTGCCTACCCCACTTTTTCTCTACAGAGAACATCAGGCCCTTTCAGCTCTATGAGATCACTGTGACTCCTCTGTATCAGGACATCATGGGACACCCCCAGCACGTCTACGCCTACTCCCAAGAGATGGGTTAGTCAGCCATCAGACCCCTTTCCAGAATCCTCTTCTCTCTCCCCCGAGACCTGCCTGGGCCCTAGCAGTCAGGAATATGAGGAACATTTTCTCTCTCCTCCTTCTGGACCTGGAGAGGGTCTCTCCAATCCTGATATTACCCCTGGCTTACACTGGACACCTGCAGCTAGACAGAAATCAGGTTGTGGGGTGATAAAAACTGGATAGTGAGTTTGGCAGAATTCAGGGAGCAAGTCTGGCAAAAACCAATCAATTGCCATTACCTGGACACCTGCAGCTAGACAGAAATCAGGTTGTGGGGTGATAAAAACTGGATAGTGAGTTTAGCAGAATTCAGGGAGCAAGTCTGGCAAAAACCAATCAATTGCCATTACACAAATCGGGTATCACATCCTATAGAAGTTGGACCTAGAACTTGCATAAATGCAGAGGGTGAGTGGCAGAAATCATATAGTGAGTCAGACAAAATCAGGCCCGGCAGAAATCAGACTGGGAGGCTTCAGAACCAGGTTCAAATCCTGGCTCAGCCACTTATTAGCAGTAGATGGGATTCAGATGAAGCCCCTGGGAAAATGAGGTTTGGACACAAGTCCTCTCCGACTCCTTTCTCACCCACCCCACAGTGTGTCCCAGTTCCTGGGTCTAGGAGCCACAAGGAATCCAATGGGGCTCTCTGCCCTGGCCACTGCCTTTAGCTCCCATACTTCTCTCTTCTGCAGCCCCCTCCCACGCCCCAGAGCTGCACCTAAGGCACATTGGCAAGACCTGGGCACAGCTGGAGTGGGTGCCCGAGCCCCCTGAGCTGGGGAAAAGCCCCCTTACCCACTACACCATCTTCTGGACCAATGCTCAGGACCAGTCCTTCTGTGAGTCTATCCTCAGTGCCCTACAGCCCCAGGGAGGCCCAAGAGGGGTGATCAGCAGCCATGAAGGCAGCTGCAGCACCAGAGCTAGGCTGACCATATGCCCCCCCTCCTAGCCACCATCCTGAACACCTCCTCCAGTGGCTTCATCCTCCACGGCCTGGAGCCCGCCAGCATGTATCATGTCCACCTCATGGCCTCAAGCCAGGCCGGGGCCACCAACAGTACAGGCCTCACCCTGATGACCTTGGCCCTAGGTAAGGGAGAGGGGGGCTGGGCAGAGACGGCTGTTCAGAGGGTGCCCCACCCAAAGGATCCTGATTTTGAGAGTAGACAGGGCCCTGACTTTGGATCCCCTAGTCTGAGGGAGGAGGCCCAGCTGTGCCCACGGATCCCAGCCTGATGAAGGAAACCCAGACCCACCTACTTGCACTCTAACCTCTTCTGGCCTTCCCCTCATCCCAGAGGGGTCCGAGCTACACATCCTCCTGGGCCTGTTCGGCCTCCTGCTCTTGCTCATCTGTCTCTGTGGGACTGCCTGCTTCTGCTGTAGCCCCAGGTGAGTCCTTTGAAAGACCTGACACCCAGCTACTCCTACCCACAGAGAACTGCTGGCCCAGGTGAGCCAGTCTAAGTCCCTTCCAGCCTTCCCAGACCTTGGGGCTCATGTCTGGGAGTCTGGGCCATTCACCTTTCTCTCCTGCACTGAGGGGCAGCTGCAGCTCTTCAGCTGCTGGGTGAGTGGGACAAAAGATGAAGAGGTGGGAGAGCATGCCTGACCCAGCCTTCACCTGCCCCCTTCTCCAGCAGGAAGAATCCCCTGTGGCCAAGTGTCCCAGACCCAGCCCACAGCAGCCTGGGCTCCTGGGTACCCACCATCATGGCAGAGGTGAGAACCCTGGAGGCAAAGGGCAATGGGGCTGGGGATGTTGACCCAGGCTCAAAGTGAAGGGATACCCCTCTCAGGCCTTCCCATCACTTCTAGCAAGACACCCTCCCTGTGGAGTGAAGCAGACCTGAGTATGAATCCCAGCTTTGCCCATCTCAAAGCCCCAGTTGCCTCACTATGAACCAGGAAGATCCACAGTGCTGAGTCTGAACAGCAGTTCACACATGTCAGAAACACACAGGCGCTTTCCAAGTGTAACCCTTTGTGTTCTGGCAGACAGCAGCGGGAACCTCCCACAACTGACCCAACTCAGGAAGGGACAGTGGCTGGGGCAGACATCTGAAATGAACCATGCCCTCATCCTGTGTCCTTGTGCCCAGGAGACCTTCCAGCTGCCCAGCCTTCGGGACCCTGGCATGCCACCCATCACCAAGATCACAGTGCTGGAGGAGGAAGAGAAGAAGCCGGGGCCCTGGGAGTCCAGTGACAGCTCAGACACCTGTGACCTCCCCGCCTTGGTCCAGGCCTATGTGCTCCAGGGGGACCCAAGAGCAGCTTCCACCCAGCCCCAGCCTGGCATCAATGACCAGGTCCTTTATGGGCAGGTGCTGGGCAGCCCCACAGGCCCAGGGCCAGAGCAGTACCTTCGCTGTGACTCCACTCAGCCTCTCTTGGGTGGCCTCACCCCCAGCCCCAAGTCCTATGAGAACCTCTGGTTCCACACCAGTCCCCTAAGGACCTCAGAGGTCCCACCCCCAAGCCAGGAGGATGACTGTGTCTTTGGGCCACTGTTTGACTTTCCCCTCCTGCAGGGGCTCCAGGTCCATGGAGTGGAGGGGTTGGGGGGCTTCTAGGGCTTCCTGGAACATCTCACCTAGGCTTGCCTCTTGAAAGGCCTGAGCTATCCAGAGGACAGCAGAGGGTCAATAAGCCCATCATTAAAAACTACCCCAGCCCTAGGAAAGGCAGAAAGGCTCCCAATCTGTTCCTATAACCCAATCTCCATGGGCTGGGCCTCCCGGGAAACCTGTACACCTTAAGGGCCAGGTAATGCTCCATCCAACCCACTCACTAGCCTCTCGTGGTTGTTACCTGTAATTTTAGTCTCTTAAACTGGTTTTTGGTTTTGGGACTTTTTGTTGTTGTTATTGTTGTTGTTGTTGCTGTTGTTGTTGTTGTTTGCAGAAACTCTCGAATGTGCTGAAGTCTTCATTGTTTTTCTTTTCAGAGCCCTAGCAGTCAGGGGGATATTTCTCAGAATTGTTCATTTGTTTATTTCTTCCTTCCTTCCTTCATTCAACCAGCTCTCACCTAGCATCTAGGCCCTGTGCTGGCAGCAGGGATTCAAAAATGACTCAGCTCAGTCCATCCTCAAGAGAGCACCCATTCTAGTGATGGAAACTTGAAAACTGATCATTAGGGCACAGGGGCAAGGATTACACGGAGGGAGTCAGAGTGTGGTGGGACACGGTAAAGAGAACTCAGAAAAGACTAACCACTGATGGGAAAATACAACTAAAAACAAAATCTCCTGCCAACCCACAAAACCTCTCCACAAAGGTAGACAAGAAAGAAAAGTCTTATTATTGAATAAGCATTAAACCAAAACGTGATACGCATCACAACCAATCCACTAAGAGATTGCAAAGACAGAAAGAAATCTTACCCTTTTATATAGCCAAGTGCATACAACTTATTGCATACATTTTCTCAAGATAAACCATAACTAGTACTCAAGTAAGAGGACTTGACAGAACCATCTGTCACACATAAATCATCCTAAATTCACCTGGTGAATGGGCAGCCATCTGTATCTGCTAATGGCCTTTATCCAAAGGAAAAACAGATTTCTCATATCTTTATGACAAGAGGTAGGTTTGCAACTTGGAACGAGGTACCAGCTGAAGTTAGGATCCTACACTCCCACAGAAACAGAGATAGGACATTATCTTCTTTAACTATTAAATTTCAAAGAGATGGCTCCCAGGTCCTTGAGAAAAACATTCTAGGGTTGTAAAACTGGCAAGTCTTTTTTAAAAAGATTCACATTCATCTCAAAAGGGTAGAGAAAGAATTCACAATTACAAGTTTTCTAAAGTAAATACTCTTTTAAAAGTGAGGGGGAGGAGAGTCTTTTCCCTTTTTGCACCAAGAATAATTAATTTTTCCTACTTTTAGTATTTGTCCTTACACCCCTCATTTCACAAATATTCTCACAGCTAATATTTATCGAATGCTTACTATACAAGGTGCGAGTCTTTTCCCTTTTTGCACCAAGAATAATTAATTTTTCCTACTTTTAGTATTTGTCCTTATACCCCTCATTTCACAAATATTCTCACAGCTAATATTTATCGAATGCTTACTATACAAGGTGCTTTGCATACAACTGCCTCCGTTAATCCTCCCAATAACCTAAAGATACTGTCATTACCATTCCCATTTGATGGATGACTACACGGTGGCCCCAAAGGTTAAATGACTTGCCCACAAGATCGTACGGTGAGTAAATGGCTGAGTTAGGATTCCAGCCCAGGGCTGTCCGATTCCACAGTCAACGACCTTATTCACCAGGCTACAAGGCTGCCAGAGAGGAGGCTGAATCCCAGTAGTTCTTACAGGACCCCATCCTGGACTTTGGGGACGGGGAGAAGAATACTAGGTTGCGGGGAGAGGGCTACCGCAGGCCCCACGGTGTCCCAAAATAACCTCTGCCCGAGGCCAGGAAGGTCCAGAGGGATTAAGGATTGGCTGCTTGCCCAAGAAAAAGAGGCATTTTAGAATTTATACAGGACCGCCCTCCATTAACAGCGAGGCCCCAGAGCCACCACGCCGCCGACCTCGCGCAGCCGCTAACCACACCCTCGACTCGACCTCGAGGCACCGCGTCATCGCTGAGTCCAGCCCTGCAATCCATCCTCTCGGTCCTCTTCTGCTCCGGCCTCGCAACAGCCTCGATTGGTCGAGCCTGAGCCACCGCGGCGGCGCACGCGTAACGCGGTCCGTACGGAGAAGGCAACGGCGGCGGCGCGGGCCCCTAGAGGTCAGAAGTCACCATGCTGAGGGCCGCGTCGAGGATGCTGAGTTCCATTCGGAACCAGGCAGTGGCCCAGGCCCCTGTCCTCGGGCTGGCAGGCGGAGGGAGCGCCAGGCTTCCTTCCAACCAGTGGCGCCTGCTGCCTCGAAGTGAGGGGCGGAGAAATGGGACGGCGGGCGTCGGCAAATGGGGTTCGGCGGAGATACAGGATACGCGGGACCGGGATAGGGGAGAAGCGCAGAGGCAGGATAAGGGAGAAATGGCGGTGGGTGGGCCAGAAGTGAGAGGAGCTGGGAAAGACATGGGGCAGCGGGTGGGGAAGAGATGGGGCGGCGCTTAGGTGCAGAGGGGCGTAGACCATGGAGGAAAGGTGATGCAAGGGGCGTAGAAAGTAACTGAGACTGGACCACTCAAGGGGATGGGCCTCAGTCCTCTCTCTCGTGCGCAGGTCTCCTTCAAGCCGCCCGCGGATATGCCACTCAGAAACCAGGTAGGAAGTCCTAAGATGGGACTTGGGGCGGAAGAGAGACCGCCAGGAAAGCTTGGGGTGGCCAAGGGGGTGGAGGTTAGAGCCACTAGATGGAGTGGGCAAAGGGGTGGACCAGAAGTTCTGTGTAGAAAATCTCCACGTCCGCCTTGCACAGAGGCTTAGGCCTGAAGCCNGAGGCTTGGCCTGCTGTATCTGAAACTTGATTATAGAATGAGGCAGAGAGCTATAGAGGCCCAGGTGTGGCGAGGGCAGCAGGGGCAGATGGCACTCATGGAGCTCAACTACTTCTTTTTTTTTTTTTTTTTGTTTTTTGGGGGGAGACCCATCTTTGCCACTGGGTACACCAAGGAGCTAACATGCCTCATGGGTCTTTGTAGAAATCTCATCTCTTGATTCTCACAAAAGCTACGTGAGGGAAGAAATTGTATCCCCAATTTATAGCTTATCAAGCTGCTCAGTGTCATACAGCTTCTAAGGAGCAGAGCTGGGATGTAAATCCAGGGCTTACTGAAACCAAAGCCACAGTCCTGCTCAGGCCCTGTCCTGTGTGGTAGGGGCTGGGCAGTCCCTCCTCCAGTCTCTCCCACTGTGCAGTTTGACTTGAATTTGAAGTGTGTTGAGACAGATTGACCCATGTTCTAGCTAAAATGGAAATGATGAGACTGGAACACTGGAGTTGACAGCCCCAGTTTTCCGTAATTATCACATCATTCCATGTTCTCAGCCCAGCAAGCCAGATCCACGCTGAATTTTTAATCCCTGGGAAATGGCTGCCCACCTCCAGAGAGACTCGTGCTGGAGAAGGAATTTTCAGTCATCCTAAAGCCACAGTCCTGCTCAGGCCCTGTCCTGTGTGGTAGGGGCTGGGCAGTCCCTCCTCCAGTCTCTCCCACTGTGCAGTTTGACTTGAAGTGTATTGAGACAGATTGACCCATGTTCTAGCTAAAATGGAAATGATGAGACTGGAACACTGGAGTCGACAGCCCCAGTTTTCCGTAATTATCACATCATTCCATGTTCTCAGCCCAGCAAGCCAGATCCATGCTGAATTTTTAATCCCTGGGAAATGGCTGCCCACCTCCAGAGAGACTCGTGCTGGAGAAAGAATTTTCAGTCATCCTTGCTTTTCAAACTAAAATGAAAATGGCATTGCTTCCCCACTTCCTGTCTCTTATTGCTGTGGTTTTTCCACAGGATTGATGATGTCGTTAAAAGACTCTTGTCTTTGGAAATGGCCAACCAGGTAAGTGGCCTATACCAAATCTCAGCCTCAACCTCCCTCATTCCTCTCCTCTGGGACTCCCTCCTACCCTGGTTAGGACCCCCATTCCGTGCTTCTCCAGTCACAGCACTTATCCCATGGTCATTCTGCATCCACTTGTCAATACCCCCAGACTGAGCATCTAGAGGGCAGGGACAGTTTTGTTCCCCCAGCACCTGACAAAAAGAAAAGTGCTCAATAAAGGTCTGATGCATAAATGAATGAATAAGTGTTGGGAAAATGGAATAATTGATCAGGCTCCCCTCACCTCAGAGCTGGTTCAGGGTGGTTCAGTAAACATTGTGTGTATGGGTGGAGTAAGTGCGCCTGCACGGCGGCGTGCTTTGGCTGGTGTTTTACTGCCTCAGCACCCACCCTGTGCAACCATGTTTTCCCAGACCTGCAGCTTCCAAGGACTATGTGGCCAGTTGCCTAGCTTATAGACCTGCGTGAAGGGGTCTGGTGACCCAGCCTGGCATGTGAGGGGTTTGTGACCCAGTCTGTGAATGGGCTTGAGGGGTCTAGGAGCTCCAGACCCAGCCCTAGCTCAACCATTGGCCCAATCGGTGCAGGATTACTTGAATGGGCTTGAGGGGTCTGGGAGCTCCAGACCCAGCCCTAGCTCAACCATTGGCCCAATCGGTGCAGGATTACCGGCAAGTAAAAGAGCCCGACAACTGGCATGGTCACCTAGCTTTACAATTGGCGTCACGAACAGGATTAAGAACTAGACAATTGGTGCTGTAAGGATTCCAAACATTAGCTTAGCAGTAGCCAGACAATAAGGTTTGGGGACTTCACTCAATAAGCCATTTCTCCTGTCAGTATCCTTGGCTTTGGGCTCACCTAGATGTGAATAGCCAGCTGGTTGTCCAAGGACATGGTGAGCAAAGTGAAGTCAGGCCCTGAGCCTTATGGACCTCATTGCTATAACTGCAGCCAGGGCCTTGGGGGTAGGAGGGCTAGTTCTTAGGGGGTGGCAGACCACACAGATTTTCTCTGTCTCTGTCTTCAACAGAAGGAGAAGCTAAAAATCAAGCAAGAACTGTTGATGAAAAAAGTCGCGGCAAACCCTGAGGACACCCGCTCCCTGGAGGCTCGAAGTTGGTCAGAGGGCCCTTGGGGAATGGGGGTGCATGGGAATCTGCTAGGTGGTACCTTATCTAGAGCCCTTGTCTACACTTAGATGAGGCTCAGGAAAGGGAGAGACATGAAGGACCTATGGCAATGATAACTGTAATCTATATCCCAAGCTCTGTGATGCTGGAGTCAGCGGCCAGGTCCTGCCTCGACCCTCTCTGAGAGCTTGGGCTAGTCACCAGTCCTCTCTTGGAGCCTTTGCTTCCTAGATATGGGGGAGTTGGAGAGACAGGGCAGAGATAATGTTACCTACCTCATGGTAGGATTATGAGAAGCTAAGGGATATAAACACACCTTGGAATCTAAAAAGCTAATGCTCTGTTGATAATAATAGTAAGACTAATATTTAGTGAACCCTGATGTGCCAGACAGACACTGTGCAGCATTCCAAAGGGCATAATGTTTCTACTTTGGTTTTGAGTTAGAACTAGCAGTAGTACTCATTAGCTGTGAGTGAAAAGCCCACCACATCGCCCTTGGCAGTGGGTGCAATTGATCTTCATTAACCACTGGGAGCAAATGAGGTAGGTTCAAGGCCTGCATGGGGGCTGCACATTATCTCACCTTTGACATTGCCCTGTATTATAGCTGCCTCCTCCTCCTCTACCTCACTGCCTTCATTCTTTTTTTCTCCCTCTGCCAGGGATTAAGGTCTAATGAGTTCATCTTGGATGCTAAACCCCCATGGAAAAGATCTGGAGGCCCAACTCCAGGGTTCTCTGTAATCCCTTTTGAGAAGATGAGTTTCAGCTTCCCTTGGTCCCACTGAAACCCTGGCCTAGGGACCCTCTAAACTGCAGAAAGGGCTGTTTATCTCACCACACCTGTCTCTACATTATCACTGCTGAAATCTCCCAGATTGGTAGGAACAGATGGCCTTTTTGCCAAGACACCAGTGAAGTGATAACTAGAATCCTCCTTTACCAACAAGCATTGGTCCTGCCCTTTCATTACTTAGTTTTCTGAAGGCAAGTTGCTTTCTAGCAGAGTGTCTGCTCTAGAGAACCCCTTGGGAGCCAAAGGTCATCTCTGTCTTTCACTGTTGTAGCTAAGAACTAGAATCCTCCTTTACCAACAAGCATTGGTCCTGCCCTTTCATTACTTAGTTTTCTGAAAGCAAGTTGCTTTCTAGCAGAGTGTCTGCTCTAGAGAACCCCTTGGGAGCCAAAGGTCATCTCTCTGTCTTTCACTGTTGTAGCTAAGGTTTGTAGCTAAGGTGGTGAAGGGGCTGTGTGGTCAGGGCCAAGGTTTCCACTGAACTCTCTGCAGCACTCCTAGAACCCAATGTGTATACTGGGAAGGACCTGCTGGAGTGACAACCTCTCTTTGGGGACAGCTTCTGCATTTTCCCCTATCTTTGCAATACAGGTGGGAATCAAAGAAGAGGATGCCCAAAAGAAGGATATTCCAGGGCCCTGGGAGACAAGAAGGAGCTGATGATTCTGAAAACTCATTAGTGAAAGCACAGAGATGATGGTGGCAGCTGGAAGTGGAGAGGCAAAGAGTAGACCCTTGACAGTTATAGAATCCTATCTTACTGCCTTGACTAGGATCTTGAGTACAGTGTCAAATCGTTAACCATTATAGCATTCATCCTGGTCTAATTCCTGAATTTAATGAGAATGCTCTAAACTTTTACCATTAAGAATGCTATTTGCTGTGACTTTTGGATGATACCTTTATAAGATTTAGGAATATAAGGTTAAGCCCTTCCTTAGACTTTGCTTTCTAAAGGAAAGATAATCCAAAATCATCTACAGTCTTGAAATTCAGAGTGCTTTAGGATTTATAGAGAGCTATATGAGAGAATTGGTGATTGTTATTCCTTGAGTTCTTAATACATAACCCAGGCCTGGGCCCTTCCTTCCTCTGTGCCCTGCTCTCATCCTGTGTGGTTTGTGGTTTCAGTTGTTGCCTTGACCGTCAAGATCCGCAATTATGAAGAACACTTGCAGAAACATCGAAAGGTAAACCCTGGATATCATTCACAGTTAAACAGCAGCCGCCTGTGGGAGAGGAGTCTGGGAGGTGAAGGGCTCTGGGTCCAGAGAAGCAGTTTAAGAAAGTGGCTACAACATGATAGTACCCACCCCTTAGCTCCAATGGGAAAAACACTTCCCTCCTGCCTCTGGAGGAGAAATGGGAGCTTTACAGGGCTGTGTTGAGTGTCACCAGTGGTTAAGAACAGAAATTTTAGGGCTGGCCAGTTAGCTCACTTGGTTAGAGTGGTGTGGATAACACCAAGGTCACGGGCTCAGATCACTGTACCAGCTAGCCGCCAAAGAAAATAATAAAGAACACAAACTTTAGAGCATGGTCATTGTATTGGGCACATGAGTCCTACTGAATATTTGTTGAATGCATGAATGGAGTCAGATTGCCTTGGGTTCAAATCCCAGCTCTGCCATTTCCACTTAACTAGCTGTGTGACTTTGGAGAGTCTGAGCCTCAGTTCTCTTTATCTGTAAGATACAGATCATAAGAATACCTGCTCACAGGATTGCAAGGATTACGTGAAATAATAATAGCAGCCAACATAATGCATATAAAGACTTTAGCGGGGCCGGCCCGTGGCTCACTCGGTAGAGTGCGGTGCTGATAACACCACGGCCCCGGGTTCGGATCCCACATAGGGATGGCCAGTTCGCTCACTGGGTGAGCGTGGTGCTGACAACACCAAGTCAAGGGTTAAGATCCCCTTACCGGTCATCTTTTAAAAAAAAAAAAGACTTAAGGCCCCATGCTAAATACTTTACCTGATTCAATTCAGTTAACCCTCTTTCTTCCCCATTTTACAGAGGAATAATCTAGTCACGGAGTGTTGAAGTTACTCCTCAAGGCACACCACTGTGCAGAGACTTGAAGCGAGGCATTCTTGCTACCCGGCTCATGTTTACCATTGTGCAATATCAGCACAGTGGCACAGAGCTGCTGTAATTAGGCAATTGCTGTTATTTTTAATAAACACATGTTTGTGAATACAGACTGGTCCAGCACCATGCCTGGCACCTCAGTGTTCCATGGAGCTGGTTGAGCATGCTCCTCGGAGATCACAATTTTGTTCATTTGGGGCATGGAACCCCAGCCCCACTGCAGAGGTCCCTCACAGAGCAGCACCCAGCTGGGGTCTCCAGGAGGAGCACAAGGTTGGCCTTCCTGTCTACCCCAGCTGACAATTTGCTAAGCTGTGAAGAGGGTGAATGGGTGGTGTAGGGGAAAGAGCATGAGATTTGGAGTCAGACCAATAGACTGGATTCAAGACCTAACCTCAGCACTCAGAGTTCTAAGGACCTTTTGTGGATCAGATAACACCTTTGAACCTTTATTTTTCCATCTGTAAAATGGGAATATCAGTGATAATATCTCCCTTAGGTTTACACTAATATTTCCTTAAGATTGTTGGGAAATTTCAATGAGATGATAAAATGACCATTCTTTGTCACTGTGAAGTGGCATACGACTTTATTTTATATAGTACTGAAAGTAATACAGACTCTCTTACAGGACAAAGCCCACAAACGCTATCTGCTAATGAGTATCGACCAGAGGAAAAAGATGCTCAAAAACCTCCGTAAGACCAACTATGATGTCTTTGAGAAGACATGCAAGGAGCTGGGGATTGAGTACACCTTTCCTCCTCTGTATTACCGGCGAGCTCACCGCCGCTTTGTGACCAAGAAGGCTCTATGCATTCGGGTATGAGTCAGAATTGCCACTTTGGTTGGTCCTATTCTGAGACTGGGATGGAGGGAGCAGTAGGGAGGGGTCGTCTATTTCTGATAGAGGCATGGAACTGGCCCCGGGGCCTGGAGTGAGCCCAGGGAAGTCACAGGCCACCAGCCTCATAGAGAAAGGCTGGGGTTACCATCTGAGGAGACAGTTCCCACCCCACGTGCTCCAAGTTTGGGGTTTTTCATAGGATTATGAAGCCTTTTACTGTCCTTTCACTCCCAGGTTTTCGAGGAAGTTAAAAAGTTGAAGAAGCAAAAAAGGATCTTGAAAGCTGTAGCAACAGCAGCCCGAAAACAAGACCAGAAGAACCCAGAGAGCCCTTCCGAAGCCTCATCGGAGGCACTCAAAGAAAACCAATAAATTCTGTCAAAATTACTTCTGCCTTGAAGAATGGTAGGAAAGAAGATGGGGCTCTTTTGGCCTGCAGAGACGGAGGAATTCATTCTTTCATTCAGCCCTGGGATCCTAGAATAGTCTGAAACAGAGTCCCTGCCTCACCCACCAGAGGACACACTCTCATAATACACATCCCACACTCACCTTAACAACTACCTGTTGTCCAGGTGGCACAGAGGAAGGGTGGCTGGCCAGCTCTAGGAGCTGCCTTCTAGACTCAGCCCTAAAGGATGAGTAGGAGTTCACTGAGCAGAGATGGGGAGGGAAGGCATCTCAGGCAAAGAAGGTGCGTGCTGTATTGAGAGAGCAGTAAAATAAAGCTTGAAAGAAAGATTGAAGCTGGGGTGTGAGAGGCTTTACATGCTAGGCTGAGGAAATTACACACCTGCCTCTAGGGAGTGAGGAGACAGTTAAGGTTTTAAAACCGAAGGAGTACTGATAGCAACAGGTCTCTGTTTTAAATTGTTAAGCATCCATAGTGTGAAGAGTAGATGGGAGGGGGAGAGATCAGAGCAATTTATTTTAGGGGTGGGGATATTGGTATTCAGATTGAAAATCTGACAAAAACTACAAGTCCTATCCCCAGGAAACTATACCTACACAAAACATTGCTTATAGATTCTGGGGAGTTAAGGATACCCCCTTCACTGTAAAGCCCACCCATGTAACCAAGTTAAGTGCCAAGGCTTTGAACATGCTTGCTATGTTTGAGAAACCTAAAGAAAACTTTGTCTAAAACTGAGTGAGCAAAGAGCAGTAGGAAGAGATGAGTACTTCTGGGTGTATTAGTGTACTCAGGCTGCCATAACAAATACCATAGATAGGGTGGCTTAAACAACAGAAACTTATTTTCTCACATTCTGGAGGCTGGGAAGTCTTAAGATCAAGGTGCTGACTGGTTCGGTTTCTGGTGAGGGCTGTCTTCCTGGTTGGCAGAGGCCACCTTCTTAATATATCCTCACATGGCCTTTCCTTGGTGCATGCACTGGAAGGAAGATCTCTATCTTATTATGAGGCCACTAATCCTATCTTTAGGGCCCCACCCTCATGATCTGCTCTAACCCTTTACCTTTCAAAGGCCCCATCTCCAAATACCATAACTGGAGTTAGGGCTTCAACATATGGATTTGGGGGAACACAAACATTCAGTCCCTAACACTAGAGAAAACACTGGACTTCATCCTGAGAAGGAAAGCTAAAAAGTGAAGAATGTGTTAAAAGTGCTGTCCCAAGAACAGTTGGAAATTTAGATCAAGGACTAAGAGAGGTGTGGACTAGAGAGGTTTGGGAGTTGTTAACAGTGATTGAAGCAACGAGTGTGAGTAAAATTGCCCAGGCAGGGAGTGTAGATGAAGAAAAGGGTCATGTCTGGATGGGGCATAGCCTGAAGGTGAAGTGAGGGTTGGACAGACAACCTGGGATCCTGCAGAATCAAGTGAGCTGACAGGCTCAGAACTGAAGATGAATTGTTCAGATATCGCCTCCAGGAACAGTAGGGAAGGCCTTTAATGGGACAAGACTTATGAATGGACACAGCTACTTAGAGATACTGTGCTAGAGGGCCGGATGCCAACAACATTTCAGGGGGGGGCTTAGCAGAGTGGAAGGAGAGAAAAAGGAATACACATTAATGGACCTGGTCCTACAAGAAAGGCTTTAGGACACAGCTACTTAGAGATACTGTGCTAGAGGGCCGGATGCCAACAACATTTCAGGGGGGGTGCTTAGCAGAGTGGAAGGAGAGAAAAAGGAATACACATTAATGGACCTGGTCCTACAAGAAAGGCTTTAAAGTGCTACCTCAGGCACATTATCTGATATTCAGAGCCCCTTAACTTCCCACATTGGCTAATTCTCATTTTACCATGAGCATACTACTGAGGACTAAGAGGTTAGGTAATGTCCAGATTCACACAGCTGGTTAGAGACAGGCCTAAGATTCAGACCCAGGTCTATCTTAACCCCAAAGCCTATGTTTTGTCCATTATACCACACTGCGTAGGGACAAAAATGGTCTGAGAACCTAAGGGAGGAGTACACTAGAGCAAACTCAAATGCCTTTAGGAGCCAGGCAGGTAACATAAATGCATAAAGAACTGGCATACAGTAATGATGTGAAGCCGCTTATTACGTTCCTATCCTAGTTATATACATATTCCCTTTTAAAACGGTGCATAGACCAGGAAAATAACCAAATCAAAGCCTTGTGCTGCCAGCTTTTGACTACTGTATGTATAGTCCTGATGCTGAGATGTCAATTTAGGGAAGGACCAAAAAATACTCATGGCGAAGCAGTTTCAGTGGGGTGAAGGGAGCCTAATTCCAGTTGCGGTGAGGTGACGAGTGAAGATGTTAAGAAGTTCAGGCTGTGAGTATAACTACTCAAAAAACGTGGGAAGGGAAGGAAGGAAAACGAACTAGAGGGTATGGAATGGACTTGAGCTTGGCAAATGTCAAGGCAAGACTTCCAGTGGTGTGGTTTTGAGGAAGAGAATGTGGGCAAGTTGCCCACAGAGGGGGCAAACTGCTGAGATGGGTTGGGGGGGGGAGGATGGGCAGGTGCAAGAAATGGCTCTAGAAAGGTAGTTGGAGCCAGAGTGGAGAGCCTTGAATGCTGTGCCTACGCATCTAAGACTGATCTGCCAACAGTAGGAAGCCACTCACTGAAGGGATGTGTCATGTTGAAAGTGATGTCTTCTGAAATTTACCTAGCAGCCAGTGCAGGGTAGAGCAGAGAAGAGAGCAGTGATATGGAGGAACATAGTGAAGCAGATAGAAAAAATAAAGGAAGGGATAAATGTGAGAAAGATTTTGGAGGAAAAAGCAGAATTTGGACACTGATAATAGGACTCAGGGAGATAGATTTGGAAGCCAAGTCTCAAGTTTCAAGTCTGAGTAGCTGGAGGGAAAGATGATTAGTACTTAGAAGGACAGAAATTTACGAAATTTACAAAAATGGTTGTTCATCAAAATAAAAACGTTCAGTAGTAGATAGCCAGAAGGTGATCCTGGAGCCCAAAGGGGAGGTGGAGAAGGGGGTCATTGCCGTCAAAGCAGACAACCGGCTGGGAGGCCCGTTAACAGCAGGAAGGAGGGAACTTCGGGGAGCCCCCAGCGCGCATGTCTGGGAGCGGGGCAGACAGGACCAAGCCTGGTTGGCTTCCCGGAGTCTGAAACCAGGTGCGGAGGCAATCAAATGATTCGAGGTCTTCTGTCCCTTCTTCCATCTGACAGAAACGTCCGTTACCATTTATCGAGTGCTTTCGCAGCGTTTTCCATGACCCCACTGATCCCCACACACACACACCCCGCACCTCCCTCCGTGTGACATACGAGGAAGCCGAGGCTCAAGGTCACAGCTAGGAAACAGCGACCCGAGGCCGCTCTAAAGAGCTTTGGTTCGGGTTTTCCTCTCTTACGGCCCGTCAGGCCCCGAGCCCCGCGGCCGGCCTGCAGACGCTGCCTCTGCCCTCGCCCTTGCGAGGGAGGCTTGAGAAACTCAAACTCAGCGCTCCCGGCTCAGGCCAACCGCCAGCCCTGTCAGGCTCGAACCAATCCACCGGGGCGATCCCCGCCGCCCGGCCCAATGAGCGTCCGCCCTCAGGGCACCTCCCACCAAAAAGCCTTCTGATTGGCTCTCTCTTCCCATCTGCGGCGTTGCCCTAGCAACCAGGCTTCAGGGACGCGGCGGCCGGGCCTCCAGGCCACTGGCTACAGAGTCCCGGGGGTCTTCGCCAGTACTGCTGACTTCAAGCAGCATGTCGGTGCGGACGCTACCGCTGCTATTCTTGAACTTGGGTGGGGAGATGCTTTACATCCTGGACCAGCGGCTGCGGGCCCAGAACATCCCCGGAGACAAGGCCCGCAAAGGTGAGAGACGCCTGACCCGCACCCCTAACCCCGCAGCCCGGCCCCCTAGCCGTCGCCCCGGCACGGGCGGGGCCCCTTTACAGCATGACCAACACCCCATGCACGCTGCGCTCTTATAGCCAGGAACCTTCTTCACAACGCCACAGCCCCATCCAGTTAGAGTCCATCAGGAGTCAAATTCTGTAAAAGATCTTTTCACAGCAGAGGAATTTAATACCCCCATTGAATATAATTAGGGTACCTGATTCCCCCAATTTCCCCATGCCCTCATATGAGAGAGTTGGTTTCCCAATCTCTCTTGACAACCGGTCTCTTCCAGATGTACTAATCCCAGCTGTCCACCACCTGACAACATACCCTTCGCTAGTGCAAGCATCCTTTTTATCCCCAAGGAACAGGTTCTGATTCTCCATTCCTCTGTGTAGGATCCTCCCACAGAAGCTGGTCTTATTCATTTCACAAGCTGTTTCTAGAAATGTGGGGTTCTAAACAAATACAGATAAAGAAGAAAACATTCAAAAAAAAAAAATGTAAGACTTTCCCTTCACAAGTGTTGGAGGAGAATGTAACTGTAAAAATAATTGCATGAGAGCTTCTAAAATGCAATGTTTCTAGAAATGTGGGGTTCTAAACAAATACAGATAAAGAAGAAAACATTCAAAAAAAAATGTAAGACTTTCCCTTCACAAGTGTTGGAGGAGAATGTAACTGTAAAAATAATTGCATGAGAGCTTCTAAAATGCAAAATCCAGGGCCAGCCCGTGGCTCACTCGGGAGAGTGCGGTGCTGATAACACCAAGGCCCCGGGTTCGGATCCCATATAGGGACGGCCGGTTAGCTCGCTGGGTGAGCGTGGTGCTGACAACGCCAAGTCAAGGGTTAAGATCCCCTTACCGGTCATCTTTAAAAAAAATAAAAAATAAATAAAAAATAATAATAAAATGCAAGATCCAGCTCCCCTATACACCACCTCTAATCTCCAAAGAAATGACTACCCAGAAATCTCTGCCACGCTTTTCCTTTCTCTCTTTTCCTCCCTTCTCAGCAAACAACTGCTTTCACCAGATTTTCTCGAATTAACTATGAAGTAGATATTATATTTCAAAGTAGAGGAGGAAAAGTTGATATAAAGGCAACTGCCATGGCCACCGATCAAAACATTTATTCTCTCCAACAGTCTCCATATGCTCAATTGATGTTAAACACACATTCAGATGTTAAGTATACATATGCAGATATTAATCATTGTGTCTGTGTGATTAAGTCCAAGTACATGCATAAAGAGATATGATACCAAAAGAATCTGTTCTGACCAGGTCAGCTAAATGATAGTGACTTGGGAGATCTGGGATAAGTCAGTAATCATATCCACCTGTCCTGGGAAACGTTATCATAAGACCATTTTACTTAGAAACAGTCATAATGGTTCCAGAAAGCCATAAAATAACCTAGAATACTAATTATTACCTTACCCCAGATCCCTGCATGTAGGATGTAACATAGTAACAATCCCAAATCTATATCTGTCACGTACTACCAGTAGAAAGTCTGATAAAATAATTAGATGGAGCTGTCTTTCTCTCTCTCTCTCCTTTGACCCTTTGCCCTTCTTGTGATTATAAAATGTTAAACTCTTCTGGCTCTCTTTGGAACACATTTTCAGGGCTACCTGATTTATGTGTCTCCTTGATCGCAATCCTCATATTGGCTCAGTAAATCCTTGCTATATGTATTTGGTCTGTTTCTTTTTAGGTCAACAGATATAAAGAACTCCCTATAGCATACCCCCTCCATCACTCTGCACACTGCTGCCAGTGAGCTTTCTAAAATACAGACCAGTCGGTGATGGGCCATAATAATCATATACATTGTATATTGACAAAATAAAAATTAAAAAAATAAAAAATAAAAAAAAAATAAAATACAGACCTGTCCATACTCCTCCCTGCTTTGTCAGCTCTTCCTCAGCTTTCCACTGCTGTCTGGATTGAGGCCAGGTCCTTGCACAGGACATTTCAGGGCCCTTCCTAATCAGATCTCTGTCCACCTCTACAGTCCCATCTCCCGCCACTGCCTTTTTCCTATTTTGTGTCCTAATAATACCAAACTGCTTGGAGATTTCCACTTAAATCATGTTCATTCATGTTTCCATGCTAGTAATCCCCATCCCTCCATTCCTCCCCTTCCATCCTGCATTATTCAGCTTAAGAAGCATCTCCTTCAGGAGGCCTCCCCACATTGAGAAAGGGCCTGCCCATACTCTCATGGTACCCATGCATGCTTCTCTCTGCCTTTATCACTGGCCATATCATACTGAAATAATCTGTGTATGTGTCTGTCTCCCCCACTTGATTGTCTTATTCATCTTTGCACTCCAGCACCTAGGATAATGCCTAGACCAGAATAAATTGGTTCTCAGTAGATGTTAGTTGAACTAATTGTCTAAATTGATAGTTTCATATGGCATTGTCACTTCTTCCTCAAGAGGGTACTGTTTTCCTTGGCACCTATGTTATCTGATCTCATTTGGGCTAATGGCACCAGTGAGGGTTCTCAGACTGGTAGTCTACATCTCGGAAGAGAGTAAATGAACAAGAGTATGCTCTCTGGAGTCATACAGATCTGGGTCCCAGTTCCAGCTTTGACATTTAACTAGTTGCATGACCTTGGGTGTAACCTCTATGAGCCTGTTTCTTTCTCCGTAAATTGGGAAGAAAAATACATACCTTAAAGCAAAGTTGTAAGAGTTGAATGAAATAATGTATTTAACATGTTTAGCACAATGAGTGATGGGTCTTATGTTATCTTTCGAGAGGCGGTGTGGTGAAGGCCCTGTGAATACTAGAGGACTGACTTAATCTTTGAACTATAGTTCTTCTGGTTTTGCTAGATTCAGCTTCAGGGAGCTTCAGCCATCTTTAGTAATTCATATTCACAATCTCATTCATTCCATGGTTTTTGGTTAACACCATGTAAGAACCTGTCCAGCACTTCTGCACCTTCACTGGAGGTAGGACTATGGATCAGACCAGTCCAGTAACTGATTTAGCTGGTAAGAGGAGGAGTAAAGGATTTGAACACAGGTCATTGAGCTCCACAGCTCATACTCTTAATTGATAAGCCCTTGACTGCTGAACTATGCTGCCATATCAAAATCTTTGGGAGGGTTGGTAGATCAAGAGGAAGGGGGGTTAGAAAAAATGTCCAATATAGTCACTGATTTTATAAAAGAAATGATAGAGATTAGTTGGCTGATGGGGATTTGTAGAAGATAGAGTGAGAAAGCAGGGGAGAGAGCACAGGATTCAAAAAGTTGAGAAACACTCATCTATTCTGCCGTTTAGTGTTGGTGTGGCTGCAGGAGTGAGAGCTGCTATAGCAGATGCCTGTACACAGAGGCCAGCAAAACACCAGACATGGTAAACTAGACCATGCTGAATCTTTGAATGGAAATCATATTTCTGGCTTCCAGTCAACATGGCAGAATAGATAGTCCACAGCATCACTCTCTCCCACAAATCAACCAATTTACAACTATAAAAAAGCAACCAAGGGGCCGGCCCCGTGGCGCACTGCTATAGTGCGCCGCTTGGGAAGCACGGCGGCGCTCCCGCCGAGGGTTCGGATCCCACATACAGACCGGTTCCCGCTC